TAATGTGATTATTATTATTTGTAGTAATCATGATTGTATATTTAGGAGAAGGGAGAAAATTATTGCTGAGCTTGGGGTCAAGGCTATGAGCTGAGCCATCATTTCTTGCATTTGAGACTGTTGTTCTGCAATAATGGCTTTTTGTTCATCCATATAAACCTGGACTTTAGGATCAATTGATTTGGGGGTGGAAATATTGTTTTTATCAGAAGAGGAAGAAGTGATTTGAGTATGTTTGTTGGAACCAGAAGATGAAACATTATGAGGGGTGATGGGAGATTCAGAAATGTTAGGAGTTAGGATGGGTGTAATTAGTGAAGGAAGAGATAATTAGAATCATTCTAATTTGGCAATACGGGTTTCTAAATCAGACATTGCTTTTTGCATACTAGTTAACATGCTAAGAATTTTATCAAGTTTTGCATTGGTGTCATTCTTCTTATTAGGATTGTGACTGAAATCATTCACTGAAAAGGATTTAGGATTAGGATCCTTATTTTTCCCTTTGGTAACGTTGGAGTAAAAGTGATCATTTTGATGATGGTTGGTGTTTTTGTGAATTAAGAAACGGAAACCAGTCAGTTTAAACCTATTGTAGAGTTTTTAAACAAATGGCAGTTGATTTCTAGGTCATCTATTATTAGAATTGTCATCTTTATTTGGTTATTCGATCATTGAACATTTCATTATGAGATGTTCAGTAGAGCCACATTTGTGATAACATATAGCTTCAGCAGAGCACTATTGAAGTTCGTGATTGTCAATAGTATAGGGAGTTTTGATTGCATCATTTAGCTCTTCTTCAAATTGAAAATAGAATATAACGAAAAGGCGAAGCTTGTAATTGTTAGATCTAGGAATGTAACATGACTTTGCTTTAGTAGCAAGGGTAATGTCATGAAGGTCATGTGAGGAGGTACCAAAGGGTAGATTGGTCATTTTGATACGAAAATCATTTCTAAGTTTTACCTGTTCAGGGGTGAAACTTGCAGGATAGACTCTAACACAATCATTGTACAGATATCTAGACCATTATTCATAGAACAATGCAATATCTTGTGGCTTTTCATAAATGATGTAGATATGCTACCACAAACCCTGTGTTTGCATTCTAACATTGATAATATTATCATATTTGGAGAAGAAGGATTTAAGGGTGTTCTGTTTCATGTTCAAGTGGATGTCAGTGATATGCAAGGTGCGTTGCTAGAATTGCATATTTTCTTTGTATGCAGCATATTCAGTGAATTGTTCAATACCCAAATCAGGAAATTTCAGGTTGATGGCGGTGTAAATTGCTTCTTTATTGTTGAAGTACAGAATTGCAAAATGAGTAAAGTTGATACATCTAACATTGACCCCTTTGAATGCATCATCACAAGCAAATTTTTCATTAATTGTTTTAATAATAGTATTGGTAGGGAGTTCCTTGGCAGTTTTGTTGATAGTAACAGCACAAGCGAAGGGTGTTAGACGAGGAATAACGATGAAGTTCTTAGTGTCAGTTTCCATGTTGTCTTCATTAACAGGAACAATTTCATCAGGATCAAGAAGATTGGAAGGCAAAGTTTGTTGAGAGCCATAGGTTTCAGATGCAATATTTTCATCAGATGATAAGTCTTGGTAAGAGTATTCAGCTGAGCTAGAGGCAATATTTTCTTGTTGCTTTGCATTTTTGTCGGGTTTAGCAGAAACTTTTTTGGTAGTAGCTTTTTTTCCAGAATTTCTAGTCATTTTGTAATTGTAAAAATGGTTGTAAAACTTTTAACTCTTTCTTGTAAATAAAGTTGTTATAGTTGACGAGAGAAGTAATAAACT